AAAAAAAAAAAATCTAACTGATGTACATTCCACTTAGTATTGATAATCTGTCGGGTCTGTCCATCGTTATGCACAGCTTAATCCTAGTTGTCTTGTGTGTATGTAAATCTGGACGTGGCTCATGGGTCCAATAATTTGGATGGGTTACCGAGACTCGAGTTGTGTCAGGCCATGGCAGGATCAGGATCGCCAAAAAACCTGTGATCACAAGCTTCAAACTTGGCTCAGAACTCAGAAGTCAGACCTTCATTAACACATTTCAAGTGTCGCATTGGAGTTTGAAGGGCGTTTTTTGAATTTGTGTAGTGTTGTAATTAGACTAAAATTCCCTTGCTAATACAATATCATAACTCGTTAATGCTTATATATTCTTGTCACTAATAACCTATTGCGCAGTGTGATGATTTGTCTGATCATAACAATGTTCAGGCAATTGTATATATCTTAAATCTGATCATAACAATGTTCAGGCTATTGTATATATTTGACAAAAAGAGGTGATAATTCACAATAATATAATAGGCAATCCCTCGTGAAGCAGATTATATCAAGTTCCTTTGATTAATAGATGTTGCATCACTACCTGCACAGTAACTAAAACCTGCACCTCACATGCTCGGAATTGTAATTAGATGACCTCCTGTGTGTTAACAAATGAATATGCGTAGATGTAATGAAACCATTACAACTTGAATTAAATGTGCTAGAACCAATTGTTGAGAGAAAAAAAATGTACAATGTACATAGTACTTGCATTCTTTGTTAGATAAGTGCTCTAAAGGGTGTATGCAAGCTTATAAGCTGGAAAGTGTTAACAAATTGTAAGTGTTCTAGGAGGAGTAACCAAGCTTATTCGTTCTCTAGAAGGTGTATGCAAGCTTGTAACTTGTAAGTAATCTATAAGTTAAAAAGCAAGCTAATAAGTTCTCTATGATAATTTTGGCATAGTTCAACCTGAGCACCTGTCCTAAATTCAAGATGCTTTCATATATGTTTGCCAATCAAGAGTGTAATTCTTTTACCAATTATTAAAAATTTTCTAATAAAAATAAAAAGTTGTCATGCCCATTGGTGTACTTTCGAGCACAGCAAATCCTTTTAGGCTGGAGCTGCAAGTCTGCAACCTCACATTAATGATACCAAATTGAAGTTAAATTCTCACAACTCAAAAACGAAAGTCCAAGCTCCATGAATGGAATGGAAGTAGGCCTGTTGTAACTCTCGTAAAGCAGCTTACTAGACAGTTTGATATACTCTTCGTTTCTTCATTACAGACTGTTTGAATTATCATAACACAGCTCCAATGTATTCTTTGGGAACAACTGGGAGGAGTTGATCTGTTGTGTACTTGCACCAGAACTTCAGAGCAAGGGAACCATCACCCTTGTTCCCGTCTCTGATCAGTTAAATATTTTATCCTTTTCTCAGTTTCTTGTTGTTTGAGATCGCAAATTTTAGATGTCATTGGTGGGGCTAGATTCTCTTGAAATTCAGCATGTTAGTAAAGGTTGTGCCTTGTGCGATTATGTTCATTCCTACGTTCTTGCTTACATCAAACTCTCTGAATCTGTAAAGGAGGAAAGGCATTTTTTTGCAGCGTTTAAAAGCATCTCGAGCCTTTCCACTACTTGGTTCGATATACCCCCACCTCCACAC